GCCAGCTCCATTCTCAAGGGCTCCAGATGAGGCCGAACATCATGGTGGCAGAGTGGGGGCAGAGGGAAGCAGCTCACATGGTGATCAGGAAGCAGAGAGAGAGGGAGAGATCTCCACTTGCTTAATACAAATATGTACCTCAAAGCCATGCCCCTAAAGCCCTGATTCCTCTAGCCACACCCCAAATGCTTTCAGGTACCACTGAATTAATCCCATCAGGTGATTAATTCACTGATTGGGTTAAGGATCTCACACCCCGATCATTTCCACCCTGAGCCCTCTCATACTGTCTCACATATGAACTTTTGGGGGACACCTCACATCTAAACCATAACAAGTGCTAGGATCTGCATTTTTGTGTTCCACCCGCAATTTATATATGTTGAATCCTAATCTTTAATGTGAGGATATTAGAAGGTGGGGATCTGGTTAGGTCATGATGGTAGAGCCATTATAAAAGAGCTTCTAGAAAGTTGCTGGCCCTTCCACCATATAAGGACCTAATGAGAACTTGCTGTCTACAAGAAAGCCAGCTCTCACCAGACACTAAGTTTACTGATGCCTTGATCTGGGACTTCCCAGCATCCAGAACTATGAGTAGTAAATATTTTTTTGTTTGTTAGCTATTCAGCTTATGGTATTTTTGTTATAATATCCCGTGGGCTAAAGTAGGTGGTTTAGAGCCAATCCAGTATTGTAAATAGCAGGTCCCAGTTTTTGCAGAGCGGACAAAACCTCCAGTAGAGCAATTATATGACAATCCTACAAATCTAGTTTGGTCTCTATAATCTGGATAGTCTTTTGAATACTAAAATTGGTATAGCCTCTTGTCCAGCTTTGAGGAATCCAAAACTGAAAAAAATGACTTAATTTATATGATGTTCCTGTTCAAAATGAAGATTTAATAATATTTATCAATTTGTAATATATCATGGCTAAAAGTGCCTCATGTAAGGTTCCCTAGCTGTAGTAATTTATCAGACATCAGTGGAAGCTTCTTTTCATCTGGAATTAAACCTGCATAAGCAGATGTATTAATATCAGTTACTATAGCTATAGTTCTTGATTTTGGACATATATATATATATATATGTTATATATATAATGATATGTATGTATATAATGTTTTAAATCCAGAATACACACACACACAAATAAAAATATATGTTTAGGGGCTGGGGATGTGGCTCAAGCGGTAGTGCGCTCGCCTGGCATGCGTGCGGCCCGGGTTCGATTCTCAGCACCACATACAAACAAAGATGTTGTGTCCGCCAATAACTAAAAAAATAAATATTAAAATTCTCTCTCTCTCTCTTTCTCTCTCTCCCTCTCTCACTCTCTCTTTAAAAAAATATATGTTTAGTATCTGTCATGTAACATAAATTTTTTAAAAAATACAGATTTTTAACTTCAGTAACAGCTAAAAAAGTCACGGAAAATTCATAGATAATTTGTTAGACTTTACAACTCCCTACTCAGATACCAGAAGGTCATTTTGCTGAAAGAGCTGCGAAACTCCATTTTGTGTGTGTGTGTGTGTGTGTGTGTGTGTGTGTAGATGGACACAACACAATGCCTTTATTTTTATGTGGTGCTGAGGATCGAACCCAGACACCGTGCTAGGTGAGCACTCTACCACTGAGCCACAATCCCAGCCCCGAAACTCCATTCTTAATACATTGAGAAATCATTGGTCATTATTAAAAATGCACTTCACAAAAGGAAATGGGCAAATTGATTGAAGAAGCAAGTGTTGTTTTGGATCTGGAATGTCCCCCAAAGTCTCATGTGTTGAAGGCTTGGTCCACAGTGAAGCAATGTTCTGAGGTGGGGTTTTCAGGAAATGATTGGATCAAGTGCACTCTGACTACATTATTTGATTAACCCATTGATAGATTCATAATTTGAATGGATTATTGGGAAGTAGTAGCAAGTATACAAGGTGGGACCTAGTTGAAGGGGGTGGGTCCTTAGGGCCATGCCTTTAAGGACTATATCATGTCCTGGGTTACTTCTCTTTCTGCTTTCCAGAACTCATGAGCTGAGCAGCTTCCTCAGACACACTTTTCTGCCATGATGTTCTGCCTCACCTCAGGCCCAGAGTAGTGGATTCATCTGATTTTGGACTGAACCCTCTGAAACTGTGAGCCAAAATGAATCTTTCTTCTTTTGAGTTGTTTTTCTCATGCATTTTGTCACACTGACAAAAAGCTATCTAACACATGGAGTAAAAGAAATTGTACTGGACTATGGAAATTACCTAACAATAATTCCTATACCTTCATCCAAAGTTGCTTGGTTAGTGTTATCAACAAAATTGCCTGAAAAAAGAGGAATTCTGATGGCACTAGACCCTTACTAGGCCTACCAAAAATATGAAATTGTTAAAAACATTTTAAGAGGGCTGGGGATGTGGCTCAAGCAGTAGCGCGCTCGCCTGGCATGCGTGCGGCCCAGGTTCGATCCTCAGCACCACATACAAAGACGTTGTGTCCGCCGAAAACTAAAAAATAAATATTAAAATTCTCTCTCTTTCTTTCTCTGTCTCTCTCTCTCTTTAAAAAAAAACATTTTAAGAGATATGTTATCTGCCTATAGAATTCTTTGTGTGTGTATGTGGAGGGGGTGGAGGTGGTACTGGGAATTGAAACCAAGGGTCTTATGCATGCTAGACAAGTGCTCTACCAGTAAGCTATGTCCCTAGCCCTTATTATTTTATTTTGAAACAGGGTTTCAGTAAGTTGCCCAGTCTAGCCTTGAACTTGGAATCCTTCTGTTTCTGTCTCCTAAGTAGCTAGAATTACAGGTGTGCATGACTTCTTCTTTTTTTGGGGGGGTGCTGTTAATCAAAACCAAGACTTTGTGCATGCTAGGAAAGCTCTATACAACTGAGTTACAGTCCCAGTCCTGCAGCAGAATTCTTTATAGGCCACCTCCAAATTAAGCATAGGGAGGTCTCCCTAACCAGCTTTACCAGGAATATGGTGGTAGCTGAATTTCACAGAAATATTGCTTGTATTTTTTCTGGTCATGGCATTTATGTCATTTTTTTTAAATACATGACAACAGAATTATTACAATTCTTATTACACATATAGAGCACAATTTTTCATATGTTTGTATAAAGTATGTTCATGCCAATTCATGTCTTTATACATGTACTTGTTGTTTTGCATTACAAATCTTACTATACATATATACCATAATTTTCCATGTCTGTTTGTATATAAAGTATGTTGACACCCAATTTGTGTCTTCATACATGCACTTTGGATAATGATGTCCATAACATTCCACCATCCTTGCTAATCCCCTGCCCCCTCCCATTCCCTCCCTCCCCTCTTTTCTATCTAGAATTCATCTATTCCTCCCATGCTCCCCGTCCCTACCCCACTATGAGTCAGCCTTCTTATATCAGAGAAAACATTTGGCCATTTATGTCATCTTGGTGGCCTGAAATCTTTCCCTCTGCAAAATCTGATGTTCAGTTAAGCAAGATTCAGCTCTAGATATCTGCTATAATACTGTATTTTAAAGAGTAGATATCTTGCTGAGTGATCTTACTATCATAAAAAATAATAAAAAGGCAGTGTTCAGGCATTGATAAGGGCTCTCTCACTACACACAATTCCCACCTTTAGGATACCAGAGCATATTGACAATGGCAGAGGAATCTATATCCTGCCTCTATGGATTTGCCTGTTCTGGATATTAAAAAATGAAGTTATATAGCATGTGATCTTTTATATCTGCCTTCTTTAGCTTAACATAATGTTTTCAAGATATAACTATGATGTAGTATGTATCAGTAGTCCATAATCATTATGACTAAATGTAACTAAATAATATTCCATTGTAACATGGACATTTGAGTTGTTTCTACTTTTTGGCTATTATTAATATTACTATGAGCATTCATTATAGGTTTATGTGCATACATATATTTTCATTTCTCTTGGGTATTTCTAGGGGTAGAATTGCTGGGTCAAATGGTAATTCAATATTTAATCTTTTGAGGAACAGCTAGTGATTTCGTTCAATTATACCCATCTAGTAGATGAAATGACTTGGACAAAGAGGTTTTACTGACTTCAGGTTGAGGTTGTGGCTCAGTGGTAGAGCACTTGCCTAGCATGTGTGAGGCACTGGGTTCAGTTCTCAGCACCACATAAAAAAAGTGAAGGTTTACTAACAACTAAAAAATAAAAATTAAAAAATAAATAAGTAAAATAAAGGCATTGTGTCCATCTACAACTAAAAAATATTTAAAAAATTAGTGATTTCAATGCACTGTTTTGCTGAAATTCTCATTCATTTAAAAGCAAGATTTCTGACGATTTCACACCTTGCCTTACTGACAGTTATTTCTCTGAACAGAAAGAGGAAGTAACAGGAGGAAGTATTACTTTAGTCTCAATACTGACAAATATGGTGGAACTCTGAAGTGGCAGGAACCTTGGGGAAAATAACCATGTCTAAGAGTTCATGCCAGTCAAGGAAGAAACACTGGGTAAAGTGGTCTGCCTCAATTTTAAGGAAAAAAGTTAAGAAGCTGAAAGAATATGCAAATATATTGTTAGGTCTTAACCTTGTATTCTGAAAGGGAAAATGGTTTGAGGGTAGGCTCTTGAAAACTACTATTTGTTGAATAAATATTTATCAATTACCTACTGTAGGGATAAGTGTGACCATGTAAAATACGATTCTCAACCCTATTTGATCTTTTATATGGACCATATTTTTGTGTACTAAGCAATTAGCACCTAGTGGTACTGGAAAAAAATTGTTGAAAGCATAGTTGATTCCCATTGAAGTTTACCTCTCTTTTTATTTTATTTTAATTTTTATTTATTTATTTATTTTTGGTGCCAGGGATTGAACCCAGGGATGCTTAACCACTGATCCGCATCCACAGCCCTTTTTAATTTATTTACAGAAAGTGTATTGCTGAGTTGCTTAGAGCCTTGCTCAGTTGCTAAGGCTGGCTTTGAAATTGTAATTCTCAAGTCTCCAGAGCCATTGGGATTACAGGCATGTGCCACTATGCCCAGATTTCACCTCTCTTTTTACATTATAAATTCTATGAGGGTTGGAAACATATCTATAATATTTATAGATGTATCTCCAATGCCTAGAACTGCAGTGTTCGATATGATAGCCACATATGATTACTGAGCATTTGAAATGTGGAAGTTTGAAGTGAGATGTACTCTAAACATAAAATGCATACTGAATTCAAAAGACTTATTATGAAAACAAAGTTTACAAAGTATCTCAATAGGTTTTTTTTTTCTACTGAGTATATATTGCTATGGTTTGAATATCCTCTTCAAAACACATGTTGAGGTTTTATATCCAATATAGTGATATTGAGAGGTAGGGCCTTTAAGAGGTGATTAGGTCATGAGGGCTCTGTTTTTGTGAATGGATTAATGCCATTGTTGTTGGAGATGGTTAATTATCAGGGGAGTGGGCTCCTGATCAAAGGATAAGTTCTATCCAATACCTTTTCTCTGTGTCCCAAATTTCTGTTTGCCCTATTATAACAGCACAAAGGCTCTTGCCAGATGCTGGTGCCATCATGCTACAGTTTGGACCCGCAGGGTGGTGTATTGGGAGGTAGTAGAACTTTTAAGAGGTGGACCTGATAGGACATTGGGGTAGTGTACTTGAAGGGGATTCTGGGACCCTGACTCATTATTCTCTCTTTCTTTTGCTTCCTGGCCATAAGGTTAGTGTTTTTTCTTCTTGATGTGCTCCTGTCATGTTGTACTGCCTCACGGTAGGCCCAAAAGTAATGGGGCCAATTGATCATGGATTGGAATCTCCAAAACTGTGAGCTAAAACAAATCTTTTCTCTTTATAAGTTAATTATCTGAGATACTTTGTTAGTGATGGAAAGTTGACTAACACACATACTCTTGAACTTCATTATCTCCCAAACCATGAGTAGAATAAAGTTCTATTTTTGTAATTTACCCAGGATTCTACTACAGTAGAAAAAACAAACAAACAAAAAACAAAAAAAACCCCCCAAAACAACCAATCAACCAACCAAACACACAAACAAATAAAAACCAGACTAAGACATGGTACAATGACAATATGTTGGATTGTTTGGTCAATATATCATTAAAATTATCTTTCCCTTGCTTTGAATGTTGTTGTTTGAAAATTTTAAATTACATATTTGACTCACATTTTGTTTCTATTGGACAGTGCTAGTCTAGAACAATGCATTGCATAATCAAATGTATTTCCATGAATGAGGGAGTAAAGAAAAAAGATAGTCATACAAATTGATGTCATTATACTGGGAACTCTGGTGAATTCATATTTTAAGGATAGTTAGGACAATAGAAGGAAGAGTATCTAATAAAAGATAGACTTAAAAGGACAATTTTGGGAATATTAAGCATCAAGATAAACTTTAGACTCCAGAAACACTGATGACTCAAAAAATCCTCCTTTTTGTATGTTCAGAGCAAGAAAAAAAAGAAGAGGATATCCCTACTTTTTGGAATAGGTGAGATATTATTAACAATAAAATTGTAAAAAAGAGGCTCATTCAACTTTTGTTTTGCTTACATAATCTTAGACTTGACACCAGATCTATGTGTTATACATAACAGGAAAAATGGATGAGTTGGACCACATCAGAACTAAATATTTTGCTCAGCAAAAGTCTATGTAAAGAGGATGAAAAAACAAGGTATATATTGTGAGAAAATATTTATAAACTCCATTTCTGAAAAGAACTAGTGTCTAAAGTTTATTAAAATCTCTAAAAATTCAACATTAAGAAAATAATCTATTAAAAATGGAAAAATATATGAACAGACATTTCACTGAAGAAGATATCCAAATGGTAAATAAAGCTCATGAAAAAATGTTTAACATCCTCAACCATCAGGTAAATACAGTCAGGGTCTCACTGAGTTGCTTAGGACCTCACAAAGTTCCTGAAGCTGGCTTTGAACTCATGATCCTCCTGCCTCAGCTTCCTGAGCAGCTGAGATTACAGGAGTGCGCCATAGTGCCCGGCTTCTACTTATTTTTTAGGGAGTATGAATTAAAGCTATGTGTTTATGAGTCTCAGAGGACTTCATTCTTTACAAACACCATAGCATTCATTTCTCTATTTATGAAAGTAATGTTTTCTTATGATACGCAATATAGACAACACAGAAAGACATAAAGAATAAAAATCAAGGGGGGAAAGGAAGGACAGCAGAATTTAAAAAAAAAAAGAATAAAACTCAGCCACAATACTACTACCCAGAGATTAGTACTGATAGTATTTTAAAATTTCTTATTAGAGAATAATTTGCATATAATAAATTTCAGTAAATTTTTATATATGAATGCACTTGTGCAATCATCACCCAGATCAAAATATAGAATATTGTCATCGACCCATATGCGACCTCATGTACCTCCAGTCTATACCATCCACGAGAGGCAAATGCTATTCTAATTTCCATCACTGTAGATTAATTTTACCAATTTTAAAACTGATATACGTGAAATTATATGATATTTACTCTTTTATATGTATGTCTTCTTTTGTTCAAAATTATATTTTTAAGATTGATCCATGTTATTTGTGTCAGTAATTCATTACTATTGACATTCTGATATAAATTTCAGAAGGTTTTCCACACATACTCAGACACAACTATAAACATAAGATCAGACTATGTGATAACATTTTTCTCCTTTTATTGTCAATATATATATCTAAAATTGCTTTGTTCTGATTACAAAAGTAATATATGTTTACTATATATACTATATATATACTTACTATATATATATATATATATATATATATATATACTTACTTACTGAAGTATATAATTTACAAAGAGACTGTCTCCCATATTTTCCGTAATTTCAGCTACTCAAAATAAACAAACAAACAAACAAACAAATAAATAAATAAGCAAGCAAGCATTTAGAAGGCCATGGTACTTCTTTTGTGGCAGTTTAAGGGACGGAATTTAGGGCTCATACATATTTGGAAGGCACTGTATCACTGAACAACACCCCAGCCCCATGGAAATTCTGACTACTTTATTCATGAACTTAACACTCATTTATTGAATGCATTCTATGTGCTAAACATTTTTCTTGACACTGAGGTTATAGCAATGAACCAAACAAAGTCTTTGCCATCATAAAACTTACTTTATAGTGGGAACTACTAACAAATATACAATTAAATAGTAATATTAAGTAATACTTGATAAGAGAGGTAAGGATATTAAAAGAGTGATAGGATACTCAATAGTATTTTTTAGAAGAAATTATATTTTATTGTCAGAGAGAAAATGAAGGCAAAAGTCCTGAAATTGGAATGTGTTTGGTGTGCAAGGAGACTGGGGGAGGGGGCGGGGGGAGCAGACAAAGCAAGGGGAAAAGTAGTAGAAAGTGAGGTTTGAATGTAGGTAGGGTGTGTAGAGCCTAATAGTCTGGGATAAGTCCTATGGGTCTTATTCCAAATATTATGAAAGCCATTGGAGTAGTGGAAGCAAGTGAAAGAGATGATCTCATTTTTGTTTTAAAAGAATTATTCTGCTCCTGTGTAGTAAATAGACTGTATAGGGGCAAGAATAGAAGTGTGAACCTCAGAGTGATGAGCTATTAGCAGTGATCCAGGTGAGAGGCAAAGTGGCTTAGACCAGGGTGATAGCAGTGGAAGGGGTGAGACAAGGATGGGTCCTGGACTTGTTTATTGGTGACAGGACCATTGGTTACCTGGGTGTGAAGTGTAAGAGAAAGAAAAGGAATCAAGCATGACTAGAAGATTTTTATGCTTGGTGATTTCAGTATTCATATAGATGACCCATCCAACTCCCTCCCATCTCAATTCCTTTAGGCTTGATGTGTGTGTGTGTGTGTGTGTGTGTGTGTGTGTGTGTGTGTGTGGTGGGGTGGGAGGTCACATACTCAAGCTGAGTCACAATGAGTTTGAGGTTAGATCATTCAAGTGAATATGGTGAGTAGGAGTTGAAATATGAGTCTAGACTTCAAAATAGATGACAGGGCTGGCAAGTTACAGCCACAAAACTGGATGAAATCACCCAGGGAGTAAGTATTGATAGAAAAGAGAAGAGACCCAAGGCCTGAGACCTGGATCATTCCAATGTTTAACAATCTGGAAGAAGGAGGAGGAATAAGCAAAAGAGATGAACAGAAACTAGTGAGATCAGAGGAAAACAGTAGAGAGTCATGGAAGCCAAATGAGGAATATGTTTCAGCGGAGCCACTGCAAGGCCATGCTACTCTTTTGTGAAAACATAACAAAGCAAACAAAAGCCATCTCTTTCTTAAGTAAAAATAAATTCAATTACTATTGTATTTACTTTCCAGTAAGAAGAAATACAAAAACCATAAAGTCATTCTGTGTAGATTATACAAATCAAATATTGAGCACAAAAGTAGAGACAATTTGCAAATTTGGTCACAGCAATTAAGAACTCAAAGCCACCAGAGTATAATAATTTATTATAAAAGAATTTCATATCTTACTTTTTTTCAGAATGGACATCTTTGTGGCAGTTTCAGTGCTTGCTTACTGTATTTCTATAGGATGGTGATTGTGCTGGAGCCCAGCCCAGGAAGATGGCACCTTCAGCAATGCTGCATCCCTCTTGTGGCTGCTGGTCCCACTGAGGTTCCCAAGAGGCTCTTAGCAGTGTCAAAATCCTACCCGAAGGAGCCACAGAATGTCAAGTTCATATAACTATCATTCTGACTTTGAGGTGGGAATGTATCGGGAGAGTAGAACCCTGGGTCTCTGATAACTATGAAGCCACATGCTAGGCTTGGACCACCAAATTCTGGCTGTGTTATGCATGACAGTGAGATAAAACATCTTATTCTTTAAAATAAAGAACTTCTGTTCCTTAAATGCACCATAGAATGAAAAAAAAGAGAGAGAGTAAGACTATATTTGCAAACATGTATCTGACATAAGTTTAGAATCCATAATGTATAACATTTATCAATTGGTAACAAAAAGATGACTTAATAAAAAATGGGCATAGAAATGAGCAAGTGTTTTACAGAAGAGAAATATATATGGCAAATAAACATATTAAAATACCCAACCTTAATATTGTAGTAATAATAGAAATAGAAATTTTATATCCACAATATAAGAAAAATTTAAAAGTCTGAAATACCAAGTATTAGCTATGATATGGTGCAATGGGAAATTATACCTTGCTTGTGGTAATGTAAATTCATATAATTTTTTTTCTTTTATTGTTGGTGGCATTGGTGTGATAGCTAAGAAGTCATTGTCTCATCATTTTGGAAAACAATGATTTGGAAATCTGAAGTTATGGAAAGATGGTAGGAGTAACTGAGCAAGTGGGTTGGAAATATAGGTTGTCTAGTAAATATGAGAGGCAGAAAATTTTGTGTGATGACAAAGTATAAGGAGAAACCTTGTACATGGTTTGCTAAAGTGGAATTGTTCTTTGAAGATAACAAGGTATATTAATTTAGATTCCATCAGGATAGAGAAACCCCACAGTAATTTGAACAGAAAAGGTTTAACATAAAAAATTAAGGATAGGGCTGGGGATGTGGCTCAAGCGGTAGCGCGCTCGCCTGGCATGCGTGCGGCCCGGGGTTCGATCCTCAGCACCACATAC